CCAGCCGCGTCTGTCCGCAAAAGTGAAAAACCATAAAACAGGGCCTGCGCATGTGAATTGGGCGGGTCGTCTCCTACACTGGGAATTGGATGGCAGCATTCCGAAAGGCGAAAAGTGGCGCCTCCAAACACATTGGACACTACTCGTTGGAGGTTGGACAAGCAGAAAGGAAAGCTGCTCGAAAGGGAGGCCCAAGCGACCTGCTCCAATGTCCAGAAATTCCGGGCGCGCCTTTCTGTCGTCCTTCAGATTGGGCAAACTGTACAACAGTCGTAGCGGTATTGTCATGGCTGATGCCTGAAGTTTCCAAAAGACGTGGCAACAAATATGACTGGCAACCTGATGGCGCACGCGCTTTGCACAAGCAAGGCATCGTCCATGAAAAGCGAGGCCGGCGCATGCCGTCTCGGAACGGGCTCGCAAATCGCCTGCACGAGACACCTTGAAAGTCAGAAAATATGCGTGCTGCTTTCGCCCCCGTGAGGTTTCGGCTCCAACGGGGAGGAAGGTCGTGGGTCAGGCGTTGTGATAGTCAAGCTCTATCGCCATGGAGGGCGGGGCAGCAAGTAGTTGTCGTTGATTTGGGGCGCAATGCCTTGAGTGGGGCGCTTCTCCAAAAGCGATAGGTGCAGCGCCCAAACTTGGAAAGCAGCCTACGCCTATATTTACACCGCAAAGGCTGGTGCCATTCAACGATGCAAGCAAATGGATGGGCGTGATCTGAATGCCCAAAAGCAACAACAAAAACTAAACTTATGTTGTCTGCTTTTGTGTCTGAGATGTTCTTCAACCAACACCCCCTCCAGCGCGCTCGCACTTCAGCAAAAGTTCGAGTTCACATGCTTGAGGGAAGAAGGCATCAACCAGCGGCTAAACATGCAACACTTGCACCACTGCAAGTCGCACCAGCAAAAGCAACTTGTGCCAATCAGCTTGGATGATACAAACATGTCCGCCTTCACTGGCAACAATAAAACCCTGTTCTCGAAATGCTTGCAGCAGCAGGTGCGCTTTGATTCTGACGACTGTGCTCATGTCAGAAAACCGTGCAAACACCGAACAGGATGCCAACGGATCAACTGACCAACCGAACTGCATGTTGTGTCTTTAAATGGACCTGTCGTCATTTATTTGATGCACAGCGGACAGCTCGCAGCTTCAAAGGGATGAGCACGCTGTGGAGTTTCTCGAAGAGTTCCTCAGCTGGTTGCCAGCATTGCCAGTGAACTTTGACCAGGCTCTTTCCTGGGAAACCTTGGCCAAACACAACTAACCGGACCCCTGATGGATTTGGGGAAAACCCTTACGCAAAGTTCTCTGACAGCGCAACACGAATCCGTGTGCCTGTGCATTATTCTCCCTTCAAATTGAATAAAATGTATGTCATTTTTGAGGGTACCCCTTTTCTGGTGGTTTTAAAGGGAAACCCATGCTTGACCAAACTACCCATGCAGAGAGTCGACCAGTGAGCCACGCTAAAGCAGCACAGCTCTTCAAGAGGTTTGCGCCTTCACCCCTATATCATTCCATGCTCATTCAAAAATACAATGCGTGTGTTCTACGCAAGTTCATATATTTGCTTTGATCATGAACATTTAATATGCTAGCACGTGTTGCATTGCCTGTAGCGCGCGTGTCTGACTAGAGGCACCTACTCGCAGTGCAGCATGATTGATCCCTGCCAGGCTTGGGCCACTCCCAAGTGACCCCGCCTAAATTACGATCATTTGGGTGTGGGTCAAAATGAAACCACCAGGATATGGACCGCAGGTTTCAGTCCTTGGTTCCATTTAGAAGGGTTTCATTTTGGGTAACCATTATTGACCCACAGCCATTTGGTGGCTCCCAAGAAACGGAAGAGCTTTCATGCAGCTCCTGCTCAGAATGGGCGACGGTTTAATCCCAATGTTCAATCCGTGGGACATCAGTGCCGCACAAGCAAACCCCAGTTTGGGTCGGAAACCAAAGGCCTATGCCGTTGTAAGGCGATTTGATTCGAGCTTCTATTTGGCGAGGTCCTTGAAAGGATCCTCATCACTCTTCCCGCTCTGCTCGTGCATCTTCTTGGCCTCCTCCTGCAAAAACAGGAAAGCCAAGGGACGCGAAACCAGAAGCAAATCCCAAACATCCCAATCCAAAAACTTCTTGCCTCGGTGCTTGGCCTAAGCTTCGTTTAAAGCTCCACAGCCTCCGACTTCCGCCCCCTCCCTCTCCTGCACGGCTTGCATCATCTGCCTGAGCCACGGCCCAGCATGAGGCGATTGCTTTTGGAGAACCCTTGCGGCTTTGGACATGGGGAAAGGCAGTCGTTGGGTGGGGTGGGTGCTGGCAGGAGCTTTTGGCATTTCACCCATTATCAATGCTTGCAGCTCTGTTCTGCAGGTGGTAGCCGTTGGCTTGCTTTTGCATCCGGAAAGGCAGCTGTAAAATCACTGTAAAACAAATGACTGCTGCTGTGCAAAGTCAATCTTTGTGGATCTTTGTGGCATGTGCTAGATGTTGTTGAAAACCGGGCTGGCGGCTCAGGGAATCTGGCACATCAAGAACATCCAGACTCGAGGTTTCTTTTGGGAGAAGAGTCGAACTCCGAACTCCGCCAGTTCGCTCCCAAAAAAAGTGGCTAGGTGGATCTGAAGCATGGCTGTGCTGGGCTCACCACTCCCGCTGCTGCTCCGGCGTTAGGGCAGCTGCCTGGGGAGAGGTGCCCAGACCGAGTCCCAGGTTCTTCATGGACCGAGGGTTTCTATGATGGGGGGGGCTATTTCTTCTGAACAGCTTGCTCAGGACCTATTCAAGGCTTATCCAGGGATCCCTCCAGAAGTCCATGATTTTGAACAACCCAGATCAGCACGCTCAGCATCAAGGCGCAGCTACCCTGTGAGCTGACTGAAGCTTATGACGCACAACGAAGCCCTGCCCACGGCATCCCACATGGCACCCACCCGATTCACAAATTCTCGGTTTCGAGTTTCGAGACAACAGCAACAGCCTTCCGTTTCTCATGGTTTCTCCTGATTTCTCCCAGGCGCCGCGGTCTGGGTGGGCGCATTGAAGGCGGCCGCCACAGTAGCAGGGAGCTGAATGGACGGAGCGGCATGGCCTCATGGCCGGTCGCTGGCCGAGCCGCCGCCGGAATGGTAGGGGGGGGGGGGGCTTGGATTGCTCAAAGCCCGGTTTCGCTCAAAGCGCGCTCCCCAACAAATCTAAGATGGGTGTGGGGTGGGAACTTGGAGTTGAGGTTGCTCAAGTTCTATCAAGTCCTCCCCAGAAATGGGAAGATGGCACCATGCAATTCCATTTCTCTCAAATCCTCATGTGGATGGGGATGCGAAAAAGGTGAGTTGCGACCTTATCGCTAGCGCCTATTGTTCCTCATAGAGGGCTGCTTTGTCATCGGTTTTCAGTGTTTCCAGCCACTTCACGACAGCTTCCCGTTGTATTGCCATAGTCTTCCCGGAGTGTTCCTGTGTGTCCCCCGTTCTTCGCGGAGTCTTTTCCAATGATGTGTAAATATTCTTACTACCGAAAATCAGGGGGGGGGGGGGGCGCTTGCTGGCAGTGATCACAAGCACGGGTTGGTCGGTTGGCGGTATTGCTGTCGGTCAGGTCGACTATGACTTCACCGCCGGTATCAAAGGGCTACTTGGGATTATGTGTTTTCCCTTCCTACCTTCTCATCGGTTTACGTGCATACTTCCAGGACTTGAGGGGCGTGCCTGTACCAGCAAAGAGCCGCGGTTGCGTTCCTGCCACCTGGTTCAACAGAGTATCATTCAAAACCGCCGGCAAATGTGTGTTGTTCGCGAGCACCCTGATGTGGAAAAAAACCGCCGGTGGGAGTCCCAATTTCACATCCAGGCCTCCCTACATTTCCCCCTTGATGACCACGAGGAAACTCACCAGATAAAGATATGTCCAAGTGATGCTTAAACTGAGCCAAAAGGGAAACCTGGAAACCTACTCACTTGCCAAAGGCCCGGAATTGAAAGGTTACCATAATCAAAAACCTGACGTGGATCAAAGTGGATCAAAGGGCTGGCTTCGAACAGGTAAGTCTTTGCAGACGAGGAAACATATTTAGCAAAGAATAACAACAAATGGTGACACCCTCCCTCTAACAAACACAAGGCACCTGTGGAAGGGTCCCTGGAAGATGTGTTTCCTCTTGGGAGCACCCTGTGTCAGTTGCCATGGCAACGAGGGAGGAAGGGTAAAATGCTGGAGTCCCGTCCGCCCCATTGCGAGCGTCTAGCGCCAGAGGTGTCCTGCCCGGTGAGTGGGTCGAAGCTGCTCAGCAGGTCCTTGCGCAAACCGCTGGACTGCTGAGGGGAGGCGTCCTAAACTTCCAACCTGAAAAAGCCTTAACCCCCAAGGGATAGACCCCGGATTAATAAACCCCTGCGGGCTCCTGCATATTAATATGGGGGTGGTCCTCTCCAAAAGTGATACATCCCCACCAAAAACCAGGCACACACCCCATAATTGTTAAACATTGGTTTATTTATCTGGGGTCAACATTACCCTCCAAATTCTTCAATCCTTAAACGACCTCTAGTTCCATAGGAGACTGCCGTCCTTGTAAATCATCAGGTGGTGAAAGGGGGGTCAAGCGAGAAGTAGGCCACTCAGGTTGTAGGAACTTGCACGACCCTGGTTCACCTGATGAAAAACATGTATGCACCAACAAGGGTTTGCACATTAGCGGCAAGACTTCAAGTCATTCACTGATTCAGAGCCATACGGGGAGGCATTGCAATCGAATAGTGGCTGCTGGCGCAAGTGTTGCTGAAACAAAACCAGCTGCACACATGATGTTCAGAGTTATTTAAATCTAGCTCTGGCGGAGCTTGTCAAACTTGAGACCCTTCGATTAACGCCAAGCTTTGGCACGGTTCCCTACTTTGGGCAAATAGCCAAATATCCGCTTAAGCTGTTCGACATGCAGCAACCACTTCCAAGTCTTCCCAGAGCCGAAATCAGTTGAATGGCCGCCTTTGTTCAGCTCATGTCTCGCCAAAGGCTAGACGATCCGCGCTGACTTGAAGCTCGGCCAGCAGAAGCCGCACTTCCGCCCAGTGGAAGGCCCTCTCACAGGCGGCGATCGCTGCGCTGCAGGTGGTGGCGTCTCGCCGGAGGCTTCTCCGCTCCATATCGGCGAGCCTTCGGGGTTCCGGCCTGAACACTAATATTGGTGAGGAAGAAAAAGCCCCCCCCCCCCCCGGCCCGGCTGGCAGAAAAGGTGTTTTTTTTGTTTAAAGCTTTGTGGAAGGGTTGTTAGAAGTTCGGAGGACCTTTTTGGGGATCTGTGGGCAGGGGGCCTACTGTATCTCCTCACGCGTGCGCCCCCGCAACATGTGCAAAGGGAATCCCTTTGAAGGATTCCATTGTTCCACCGTAGTTGTCATAAAGCACCCCAGTCACTTGAAACTCCGAACGCAGAACAGTGCTCAACTTCACCGGGGTCAGCCAAACCTAAGGGACTCCTGAACATCTTCGCAGGCTTCGCGTTTTAACCCTCTTTTCGAAAGAACCGAAACGACCCCCCAGCTTCGCTCTTGAAGTTCTTAGCTCACCCAGTGGATTTCCATGGGAAAAAAGGGCACCAAAAAAGTTGAAACAAGGGTACCACTGGGCAACTGGGTCAGACGCCCAATGCCCGGCGCGCGCCTTTCCAAGGCCTGGCGCCAGTCCGCGGCAGCTGCGCAGGCCTCCACTAAACAGTTGTGGATCACCAGGTTGCTCTCCAGGCGGTCTTCCTCTACCGGCCAACCACGCGCCAGGAATTGAAGAGGTCAAGTTTGTGGGGCCCGTTTTGGTCCCGCTCGAGGCCAGGAATTGAAGAGGTCAAGTTTGTGGGGCCTGTTTTGGTATCCCCGCTCAAGGCCAGGAATTGAAGAGGTCAAGTTTGTGGGGCCCGTTTTGGTATACCCCGTTCAAAGTAGTTCAAAGCCACCATCTTGCAGACCCCCAACTATTCTTCGAACCTGCGAGATCCTTTTGGTCTCTCAGTCCTCCAGCTCTGCCAGCAGGAGCAGCGCTCTCCTAACCCAAAATCTTCCCGCTCTTGGCTGAGACTTGGAGTCCCTTGGTCTGTAGCCGACTTCTGAAAAGCTTAGAGGAAACCGCGGGGTTGAGACATCTCAAATTCTCCCATTGTGATTCATTGGGCTTGGAAGTTGAGGCTCCAATGCGCTCCCCCCCCCCCAAATAAAAATAACAAACAGAACAGCCAATTACACAAGAAGCATGGCCACGTCTGACATATTTTGTTTTCCCCAGCTAGCTGAAAGCTGTAGGGGTTCTAACTTCTAATAACTGCGGGTTGTCAGGTCAATATGACCTACTCGAGCAGAACTTGTGTGCAAAAACGCCCGCAACGCCCCGCAAAACGAGCGCAAAAACCCGCAAACGAGCGCAAATTTGAAAAACCTCGGGCACTTGTTCATTGCTCGGGCAGAAATTGAAGAATGGGGAACAAACTGTGCGTTTGAGCAGAAAAACAAGCAAGCAACAAAAAAGGTATGGTCCAGGTTAGTTTGAGAGTCCCCTATTGTTTTCCAGCGCCGGGGGTATCGTTTTTTTTTTTTGTTTTTAAAGAGTCCCCTGTCGTTTGCCATGGTTTTCAATATCAACGAAACACCGACTACTAAAGTCAACAGAAGTAATTTTGATGGTACTTCATCTGGGGTCTGTGCTGGTGTCATGTTTTCTTCAAAAGGCGGAGTTTTCGTGTCCTCCAGGTGGCACAGCTGATGGCAGCGCTGTAGGTGATGATATTCTTCTGCAGCCCCATAGGCCCGCACCGCGCCAGCAGCTCCATGGCCCACACCCAGGCGTTGCCCTCTGGTGCGATTGAGGTCTTCCCCCCCGCCCCCCCCCCTGATAGAAAATGAGAATATTTTCAACATTTCCAGGCGGAGCCCCAAACTCAGAACCATTCTGTTGGGGGTTGAACATTCTGAGGGGAAGCCGCCAACAAGCGATGCCAATGATGTGCCATCGCAGTGTGTACTGCAAAAAACGACTTTCCAAACCCTGAGAAAGCATGAATCCCAACTTGGACCCAGCCCCCGCACGCGCACGGCGCTACATGCGACCAAACATACCCCTCGGGCCCTGTTTGCGTCCCAGTCCGCTGATGGGAATTCAATGACGAGTTGTAGACTATGCACCACCCTATTGGTGTTTCCTTGCTTCAGGCTGCCTTTTTTGGGGGTCGGTTTTGAAGGGAAGCTACATCAAAGGGACTGTTTCCATTTAGGAATCGTTTCATCCCCGCTTCAAACAGAGCCGCAGCCCAAAGTGAAGTCCCTTGAAATTGCCCAACAAGTGATCTTAAACCCCCAAGTACGAAGCCCCGGCTTGCGGTCTCAAAGCACCTTCTCGCAGGCACTGATGGCCGCGGAGATGGTGACCACGGTGCCCTGCCTTGGCTTGCTGGGCTTCTGGGGCCTGATTAGTCAGCCCGAGTTCAGTGGCCCGGAAGAGTTGCCCCGAACCACGCGTGCGGCAGCACATCGTTTTCCAGAAACGGCTGGGAAGGCATAGGGCCCCACAGGAGAAACAAAAAGAGCCATGAAGATGTAAGGGATTCAGGTTCCCCAGTTCCATTTGAACTAGTTGTCCCACAGCATGACAGCATGGTGAACTCAAACCGGCGTCCCTCACATCCTGACGCGGTTGGGGGCTTTTCCGGGCTGTTTGGGATGGAGGATTCCTACTCCGCAGTGGGACGCTCTACTACAAGAAGGGAGATCACTACCAGCTGGCATAGACCTTGCGAATTCTCGAACATCCCAGCGAAGACTTCTGTACCATGAAAGAAAGGGCAGGTTCCCTGCTATGAACCCAGCCAGGCCCACCAGAAGTTGGAACCAACCCCTTATTTCCGCAACCTTGACGACTGCTCTTCGTTGCAAAGCGAGCTGCAAGCCTTGCGCCTCCAACGCCGCCAGCAGTGCCAGAGCCTGCTGCCAGCATCCGCACTTCTCGCAGGCGCTGATGGCTGCGTTGTAGGTGATTACATCCTTAGCCAACGGACCTGGAATCACATTTACCGATTCAGAGCCACAGCACTTCGGGGGCGGGGGGGGGGGGTCCATCCACAGTAGCAAGGGGAGCCATTGCCATAAGAAAAGTGGCGATTCGGGGCGAAGGACCAAGGGCCATGAACTTCCCATGGCTCCCCTTGCTGTAGCTCTGAATTGGTAACGTGTGATTGTCACCAGCCTGCTTTGTACGAGTCTTCTTTGCAGTTGTCGTCCGTGGCCTCTCCATGGCTCGCAAACCAAATAACCAGCAGGAATGTCAAAATTGCAATTCCGAATTCCAAGGTGGCAACGCGTGCCCCTATGGCAAAGCAAACGGGCCCGGACAGGGGAGCCCAACCCCCTGCAACAGGTGGACCCTTGCGCCCAGGTTTTCCCCTCAAGTACAAACGAACTCAAAGCTTCTTCGAGAGCCTTTGGGATAGGCTTCAAAACTAAGGGGCCTAGAACGTCTCGCCATCAGGGCTTTTGGGGTTCGTCTATCTTCACAAAAGCAAAAGCAACTAATCAAGCTTCTCAGGCTTCCGGTTGCTTCTATGATTGGTTTGGTATGCTTTTTGTTTGGCTTGCTGGCACTAAGTGTGTGCCCCCAGTGAAGTGGTGTGGCCTTCTTGTTAAACATCCTGTATTTACATGTCTCTGGAATTGGGAGGGCTTTCTCCACGAAATTTCAATGCGGAACTTCAGCCGTGCTTTCTGTGTCCACCAAACATTACTTGATGATTGCCCCTGGCGATCTGCAACAGCGACTGGAATCATTGGGCGGTACAACTGTCACCTGCAAGGGTGCTCTTGAGGCATGGCAGAGGTTGAAACCAGTGTCAAAACCTGGCAAGGCTTATCTTTATACCCCTTCCAAAAATGATGATGGAAGCTCAGGAAGACTACGGTCTCAAAAAGGCCCCCTTCTCACTGAACTCCAAGGCGTTTCCCCTAAGAGCGAGATCCCAGACCGGGTCCATTCAAATGACATCCACAAACTTGCCCTCTAGACAGCGTTGTTACAGGGAAACCATTCCCGACAAAGAGACCACCCGAAGTGATTTCACACTTCCTGAGTGAATGGGTCAAATAAGCTCAGGCGATATCCCCAACAGCAGCGCTTTTTAGTGCTCCACCCCGCAGCCCTCGAAGAACCCCGTGGAACCCTCGTGGAACCCTGGTGGAACCCTCGTGGAACCCTCGTGGAACCTTGCCTCAGGGCCGCCCCGGACCACCCCGGAGCCTATCTGGGCTGAGACCCCAAAGCTTTCAGCTGTTGGGGAAAAAAAGTCCTAACTGTCCATTTGCTACTAAAATTGATCTTCCCAACAAGTATAAACTTCAGGAACTCAGGACGTGAGATTTTGAGCCCCCCTCAGCTTCGTTTTGGCGAGCATCCCCCAGCCCGCGGCCGCGGCAGGTCATCAGCAGCTGCAGGGCAAGCTGCCACTCCCCACCTTGCCCCCCGCGCACTTCTGTGTTGCTCCACCCCCTTCTGGGCCAAAGCTCCAAGGGGAAAAAAATAGTTTGTCTTTGTGTTTGCAAAAATCCTGCAACAGCCTCTGGGCGTCTATGCGTTTGGTTGGCGGGAGCAATTTTGCTTCCAAAGGTCTGAGGGGCGATTCGGGCACACCAAAGACCGGCCATGTTTTCCATCAATCATGAATGCTGCCGACAAAGGAATGTACTTTTCCACTATCTTGCGCTTTTTTGGCCTCAGACCTTCAAAAAGGAGAAGAAGTCGCTATCCTCTTTCCAACAATCGTGAAAGCTTTGGAAAACGACGGTCCTCTTGAAAAGGCACTCTATCCACTTCCGCAATTGTCCGCAAGATGGTACCTGGGTTCGTGCCTTCAACATTTTTGGGGTTTCCGTGTTCAAGCCCACCACAAAAAGGGCGCCCTCAAAAAAACAAACTGGCTCTTCTGTTGCTGTCCCTTAAGGCAAGCCTCGAAAAACATAAATTCCCGCACGTGGCTTGCGCTTGGGAACCTCTTCTTGGTTCCGAATGCCATCCATTCCCCTCATCATTTGATCCCCGAAATCCTGCCAAACACCCTCCTGAAAATTAAGCATTTGAATTGAACTGGCGCGGAGTCTTTCCGTAGGGGGCCGCCAAAAAGAACCAGAGAAACCACTGCCATCTGGTGTAAGTGCCAAGGGTTATGGATGGATTCTAACCCAGAAAACCCATGGATTGTTGTTTTCACCAACCAAACCTGGTGTAAACACCGAGGATTCTGCATGGATTGTTGTTTTCACCAACCATGGAGGGGCTTTCCCACAAACGAATTGCACCGCCAGGGGGAAACCTACGATCCGCTCCAATTGGGCCGACGCCAAGAGGCTCTTCTCGCAGGCGCTGATGGCGGCATTGAAGCTGGTGAGGTCGGGACTCGCCTCCTTTTGGCCAAAAACATGAAAGGGTGGAATGACTAGGTCCTCCAGCAGTTTGAGGTTGGAATAAGGGTACCAACTTTCTTTTTTTTGGTCTAGTTTAGTAGGGGAACCCTCCCCCAAAAATGGGCAAGAGGGCACTACTGGAATGCATTCGGGGAAAACAAAAAAAACAAAAAAACAAAAAAAACAAAGCGACATGTCCCCCCCTTGTTTTGAGGACTGAGCAGCCGCGATTGGAGGGAGTCCATTCAACTCCTCGAAATACGACGCCCGCCTCCAGCAGCTCCGCCAAGAGCAGCAAGGCTTCTTGCCAGCGCCGGCGCTTCTCGCAGGCGCTGATGGCCGCGTTGAAGGTGATGCTGTCCTAGAGACAAACTGCAGGCTGGGTGCTTGGGTGCTTGGGTGGTTGGGTGGTTGGGTGGTTGGTAAGGGTGGTATGTGTGGTAAGGGTGGTAAGGGTGGCGAGGGGGGTAAGGGTGGTAAGGGGGGTAAGGGTGGTATGTGTGGTAAGGGTGGTAAGGGCGGTAAGGGTGGTAAGGGTGGCAAGGGCGGTAAGGGCGGTAAGGGTGGCAAGGGTGGTTGGTAAGGGTGGTAAGGGACTTGAATGCAACAGGAAACAGGTCATCCAACAAAAGATGCTGCTTGGTTGGTTGGTTGGTTGGTTGGTTGGTTGGTTGGCTGGCTGAGGAAAACAGAAAGGCTCCAAACCAAACACTTTGGCCCCCTGCAAAGAACCTACCAAAAAGATGTGCCTGGGGGGTCCTCTAAGGTCGAGACAAAGCCCACAAGACTGGGCTCGGCGACCTTTGGTTACTTGGGTCATCCAGCCTCACCTTTGAATTTGTTCTTGCCCAAGCGACCCAAAAAAGAGTCAAACAAATCTCGTTCTGCAAGAGCGTGCCTCAGAAGGCGGAAGGCCGCGTAAACTTTTGGTACCCCGAACACTTTGAACTCGAAAATCACACTTGTCATATCAACACGGGGCATTCCAGGACTTGATCACCAAGGGGATTCCCTTAACTTGGTATCGCAGAAAGTGGCAATCTAAAGCCCGCTTCCACATCCATGAGTTTGAAAGCTTGCGATGGTGTCCGAAAAGCGCCTTCGGTAACAGTAAGAAGCATGCCGGCCAGGCCGTAAAACAAGTCGGAGTCCCATCCAAACCCCGACAATGTGCAACAAGGAAGAACATTTTGACAAACACAACCAAACTCACATCCCAAGACAATCTCTCCTTTCTGGTGGCGGAAAGAAACACCTCGACCGAAAGGAAGCTTTCAGAAGCCTCCAACCATAGGTGTCTTCTTTGGTAAAATAGATGGCCCTGGCAGATGATTGAACCATCAGGTACACCAGGAATCGCCCCCCTTTTTTTTTTTAGCAAACCAACCAAAAAGGACACCTATGCCTCCAACAGTGACAGCCAAAACGAGAACGATCCCCGGCCCAAAGCCGACTCTCCGACCGGGCAAGCCCGCCTGGCGCAAGCGCAGGCGCTGGGTTTGGCGGAGCACGGCCAGCGCCAGCTGCCACTGCCCCGCCTTCTCACAGGCGCTGATGGCCGAGTTGTAGATGATGATGTTGGGCACCAAAGACAACACCTGAACACACACGCACAAGTTTCTTCGGCACAAGCCACGAACAACCAATAAAAACAACCAAGAAGACAAGCGGAAACAAAAAACACCAATAAGACATTAGTTTCTTGGACATACACCACAGGTGCATCATGAAATAGGGATCAAAGAAACAAACGTTCACACGTGTGTGTAGGTGTAAGAATTTTGCATGAAGCAAAGCAAGTCTCATGCGCTTTTGGCGCATCGACCAGGTTTCTCCCTTTAGTTTAAAAATGGTCAGGTTAATGAGGTAGGTGGCTAGCAGCCATGCTTATAGCCCACCGAACAGGAACTGTAACCATGGTAGGTTATATTATCCATGAACCGGTGATTAACCCCTGACTAAGTGATTGCCTTGGATTGTTTGTGTTCCCGTGTTTCTGGATGTCGACTAAAAAGGGAAGGTGCGAGATCCACTAAACAACTGAGCCGTATTTCCCCCGTAAAGCCGAACACTCACCTGCACTAACCCCCTTCACGGGCGGCTAAACAGAAGCTCTGGACAACATAAAGCTAAGACCGGGTCCATGCCGGTTTAGTTTCCCTGGAATTTAAGACGGGCGCATCATTTTTGGAGTTGGTACTCTTTTTGGATGAAAAAGGGAAACCAACAAGAACACACCACCATTTTGGGTGCGCCAAAAAACATCCGACAACAACAAATCCGACACCCCAATCCTAGCTTGCTTGACGTTGGAAGGGGAGCAACAGCTAAGTGGGGGATTTCCCACTAAACCACAATCAGCCAAAATTTAAAATGTGTCCCAACCACAACCATGACTAACCTGACTGAACCAACCCCCAACTCGGTGCTTTCTGCTCCCCTGCTAAAAGTTTAACCTTTAAGTGGTTTCGTCCGGGAAGCCCATGCTACCATCCAAACAAAATGCCCAAACCCCAAGCCCCGACCTCCAGGTCTGCCAGCAGCTGGATGGCCTGCCGCCACCTGGCCGCCTTTGCGCAGGCGCTGAGCGCCGTGCCCAACGTCACCACCGTGGGCTGCAGGCGCCGGCGGTGAAGGCCCCAGGCCAAGGCCTCGGGTCGCCGGCGGGTTTGGAGGTGAGTTTTGGGTGGGGTTTAAGGGAAGCCACAAGAAAAACAACGGGTTTTTAGGGGAAACCACCGTTTTTTTTAAGGGAGGCCAAAAGGAAAACCACCGTTTTTGTGGGGGGGGGGGGGCCCAAGGGCAATTAAGCTGATCAGATTGGGTTGAGAGGGAAAATCGGACCTAAAGTCACATGTGTTTGGGTCCCCTCTCAATTGCGACATATACCCATTTTGTGAGATTCTAAAACCATGTAAACTCATTGAAAAATGACCCCACCCCCCTGCCGTTTTCCGGAAAAGACAAACGTGGGAACCTCAAGGCCAACACTTGTGGTGGGGGGATGTGCTGTACATCAGCATGTTCACGAATTTACACCAACAATGGCAACACTCGGGATAAACCGAAGGCCTTCTTTTCGGTTTCGCCGAACAAACCCCCTGCCAAAAACTCACTGCTTCTGTTCTCTGGCGAAACCCGCCCCTACCCCCCCAAAAAAACAACAACATGAAGGACACGCAAGAGGGTTTCCTTAAGGCATGCCAAGAATGAAAACTGGGCCGAGACGCCACTGCCACCCGCCACTTCTTCGCCTCCGCCGCCACGGCCATGGCAGCGGTGGTCAGCAGCACCGCGCCAGACGTCCTTCGCGAGGTGTCCACCGAGCTCGGAGCCTGCCGGGCGGCGCGGCGGCGCCCGTTTTGGGTGGTTCCCTTGTTGGAAGGTGGGAAGCCAAAAGGAAACCATAATTTTGGGGATTCCATTTTTGGTTCCATACTTTTGGTTCCATACTTGTTGGATACTTTTTGGGTCCATAATTGTTGGTTCAATATTTGTTGGGGAAGCAAAGGAAACCGGTTTGGGGGTTCCATAATTTTGAGACAAACCCGGAAAAACATCCAAACCCAGTACAGATCGACTCTAGGCAGCCCCAAACTGGCCAACTGCTTCTTTGTCGACAGGGGGGTTCGACATGGGAATAGGGCTGATGATTTGTTTCTTTCCAACCCCAGGGTTCGTTTAATTTCACCCTGGTCCGATTTTGAGTTTAAAAGTTAGTTGCCGCAAATGGCCGCCTGGTCAAAAGGATTTGGACTGAGGCAGTTAAAACGGTCTCGTCCGTAGCCAGGGCGGCAAAGCTGGCAACCGGAAAAAACGCTTTTGCTCTGAAAAGGGCCTTCCACACCACGATAGGTGGATTGGTAGAGGAAAGCAGCACCTATATGCGGGTTACTCGTGTCGCAAGGCCAAAGGCCATGCCAAACGGCGCCTGGGCGCCTTTTCTACGAATGCCAGCCCGAAAATCATTAACCGCAAATGGGAAAGGTACCCCGCCACCCCGGATCAATCCACCAGATGGATCAATAGAAAACTTCGCTCTCAAATCATGACTCCTCTTCTGCTGGGGTGTACCCACAGCTTCGAGCCGCGGGCCACCAACCCAAAAAAGATGTTCCTTTGATTGGGGAAAGTATTCATCCTAGGACCCCATTCATGGACAAATGCCTTTTTACGCCCAGCTTTTCTGAAAATGCTTCCTGCAATTGAAGGGATTTGAAGCCAACTCCGTCGCTGACCTGCTGAACTTGCTGGCCAAAAGCGGCTTCGATTGCTTGGCCAAAAGCTCCAGGAGTGGGGACCCCACCCACCACACGTCGCTCGCCGAGCCGCGGCTAAGGCGGGCACTGGTACCAACTTGGGGAAGCCAAAAGCTCCAGGAGTGGGGACCCCACTCGCACACGTCGCTCTCAAGGCGATGACCAGCGCCGTCTGCCACGCCCCGCAGGCCTTGCACGCGCCGCGCGTGACGAAGCGATCGAAGTCCAGCGCCAGCATGGACTGCCACTGCCGACTTCTGCCGATGGCATCCACGCGCTCCTCGCTGGAGATATGTGTCCGAGGAAACACACAAATAAGTCCGGACATGGAGAACTTGGCCTCTGCTTTTTTAAGGTTGACTCGTGCAATGGTAGATTTGTCTGGAGGTGGCGGCCTTGGGGGGGTGAAGGAGAATCGCGAGGGGCGCGCACACTGTTTGGGTACGTCATTTCGGTACAATGCCGTGTGTGTGTGTGTAACTTGCTTGTTCTCACTGGGGTGGGGATTCTCAGTCATTTCCATGGAAAGAAAGGGAAGGCTGACGGGCATCGGCAACCAAACATTCCTTTAACGCTTTTGCTGGTGGCCCGTAGAGGGCGAGTTTGCAAGGCACCGCCCTTCGATTGGCCACCCATCACTGCAGCCAATAAGAAAAGCGCAATGGACTTTCCTCGTTCCTGACGTGGAGCACACAAAAATAAAGGAAGAGAGGCGGAACAAATCCATCGAGGGTCCAGGAATCTTGCCACCCCAGCTCCTTTGTTGAGGCACTCCTTTTGGTGTTGTGTTGAAGGAAAATCAAGGGGAAACCCACGCCGGAGCCGCTTCCGTTCCTGGAAAGAATGCGCAAGGCGCCCCTGGAATAAATTACACCAGCATATGCCCCAAGTAGCGTAGAACAGGTCGAGGATTGCACACTGCTCGTTGGTGGCCAGATCATATCAAATTCAGGGACTCCTGAATGTAATTGAAAGGACAACAACCCGAAGCGCTTGTTTGCTCCATTTTGTTTTCCGGTGACCTCAGGCAAAAGGCAAGAAGATTCACTGTGAATCCCCACCGGAGCCGACCCCGAACCCTCAAGCCAAAGACCCGAACAGGGAAATCAACCATCAACGTTGGAACACAGGGCCCATTGGCGGTGGAAAAAAAAGGTACATGAGGGAAACTACCTTTGATCTTTCAGGATCTTCCAGGATCTTCCAGGACCCTGGAAAAGTAGGCCATTGGCTCGTTTTCCTTTTTCAACCAAGAGCAAAATCAAGAAGGGCCCTGTTTTTTTACGCGCTTCTGGAAGACCAAGGTACCTTTGGTCCATGGGCAACACCAAAACTCTCCACCCACCCTGGGCCCCATTGGCGCATATTGGCGCCGAGCGTCCGGCAGCGCCTGCGCCAGCCGAAGCATCTGCTCCCAGACCAACTCCGCCTCCGTCCGCCCAAAGGCGGCGAGCGCGGCCTGGCGCAGCACGGCATCGGCCCGTAGGCGGTGAAGCGCCAGGTTGTGGAGGTACCTCTGGGTGACATGCCGGAAAAAAGAAGAAGCAGGGGAACGAGGGTCCAAAGAACTCACTCCAAAAAGAATGGGTGGGAGGAAGCTTCCAAAGTCTTCCAAAGATTGTCAAAATGACCGGGGCGCCACAGCCTTGAGCAACACCGAACCAACAAGAACAAAAGACCAAACCGAAACAGACAACCAAGCTTCGCAGAACATTCGATGGACTTTTTTGCCCTTGACCCCAACAGAATATTGCTTGAAGGCAGAAGCCCATTGAATCATTGGCCCATCTGGGCCCTCAGGGCCTGAAAAGCTGGACTCGCTTTGGGCTAAGGTGCTGCACTGCAAGGGGCCAGGCATTTGCGGCTCTCACCGCCGAAGTGGTAGCCACAGCATCTGCCATGTTCGAACTCTGCAAGCCTCTCTCCGGGTCAGCGGGGCTTGGCCCAACCGACTCTGGGGTACTTTCAAACATGTGAACCTGGCCTAAGTCTGAGTACACAACCAATCACATTTCTGGAGGATACTCCCCTCCTCTTGTTGGTCGTTTGGCCCATCGCTCGAGAAATCACAGCCCCAGCTCCTGGAAGGGGATTGACAGCTTCCCACAGGAGACAGCTGAACAGGGGGTGCTCATGAACTTTACTTGGGAAGCTCCCTATGTTTGTGAGTGCTGAGGAAAGCTGTCCGTCCCGTTGTTTGCACTTTTTATCCCCCCCCCCCCCCGCCCATTTTTTGGAACTCGTGCCTTGAAAAATGCCAAGGGCAAACTCCCAGCGGGGGACCTCGCAAGAGCTCATTGCCGCGCTCTGGACGATGCCATCCAACCGGGTGCCGCCTGCAAAGGCGGCTGGGCCCTTGATTTCAGCAGGTTTGTTCATTGGCTTGAAGCGTCACCACAGAGTATAACTTCTTTAGTTTTATCAGTCGTGCCTGTTCCCTTTCAAAACCATCCAGCAATTTTCAACAAACACCACAAAAGAAACCATATTACGCGAGTTGAAGGAGCTTGAAGCCACTATTCCCAGCGATTCCCGCCACCACTATAGCAACCATAAGAGTCGCAGAAAATGATGAGGCGTACCATCCCGACCCAAACTGAGTGCGTCAACATACTTGCCTTAATTAGGCCAGGAATTGGCCCAGTGTGTGGCTACGGCTTAGTGGGAAAGCGCTGCTGTTCAAGGATGTCACGCGGTCTTGATCTGATGAAGGCCAGCCGTGGTTCGCGACTGGTGTGGGTGGCGCAGCCGAATGCCTGGGCCACACTGCGTTTCCCACCTAGTGCGGCAGCTGTTGCTCGCTCACTGGCTTACTCACTCATTGTGGCGCCAAAGAAACAAGACAACTAATTATCTTCAAAATGCGGTCGGTGCACACCAACCGAATTGCAGAGACGAGATTCGTCCTTGGTCTAAAAGGAGACAACTGCACACGTCAGTTGCCGTCCCACAATTGCTCACCCAGACCCTGAGAATTCCAAACCTGTCTTTGACCTCCGTTTCATCTTCTGGTTTGCGGGCTCAATCATTTGTTTTGTTTGGGGGGGAGGCGGAGAAGGAATCAAAAAATGAAACTCTGTGCGCTAAGCCATATGCCTGCTGCCATGTCAGCCAGAAAGCTCAGGGCCAGGTGCCATTGGGCGCCCTTTCCTTACTCTCCAAATCAGGAAATCTCTGAATCACTTCCCGTCAACATTCATGCGCCCTCTTCGTGTATGTAATATATATATATATAGATATATCTATGTATATGTAGTTTGCCCCCCAGGCTAAGATTCCCTCGACAAAAACGCCAAAAAGGGTACCCTCAACAAAAACTTGTATAAGGCAATCTGTTTGACGCGTATGTGTGCATTTGCAAACCCATCATGACACCGACAGCTCTGAGTGGTCCGCTTTGCAACATCCCCAAAGCATATGGCACGGAAGGCTCAAAGTGAGCCAATTCTGCGCCAGACTTCGGCACTGCAATTGAGCATGAACACTTTGCTGGTTGCGAGGGAACATGCAAAGCTACGAGGGGTGAGGGATCAAAAAACTTATTAGGCATCAAACAAAAAAGTTCTGAAGATCAAAACAAATATTAGGGATCAAAAAAACTTATTATCATTGATTTACTACTACCAAAAAAAAAAGAGGATTAAAAAACAACATTTTAGGGACCAACAAAACTTATTCATTTCGTGGCAGGCGCAGCACTTTCGCAAGGTGCGGTGCGGATTTCGTGCAGACTTCGTGGCAGGCACAGTACTTTTGCGAGGTCAGGTACAGATTTCGCGGCAGGCGCAGCACTTTCGCAAGGTCAGGTACAGACTTCGTGGCAGGCACAGTACTTTTGCGAGGTCAGGTACAGATTTCGCGGCAGGCGCAGCACTTTCGCAAGGTGCAGCACAGCTTTCGCAGCAGGCGCAGCACTTTCGCAGGTGCGGTGCAGCTTTCGCGGCAGGCGCAGCACTTTCGCAAGGTCAGGTACAGATTTCGTGGCAGGCGCATTACTTTCGCAAGGTCAGGTACAGATTTCGCAGCAGGCGCAGCACTTTTGCAAGGTCAGGTACAGTTTTTTGATGCCTATCCCAAGCTAAACCGGGTCAAAGATTAAGTCCGACAAATACAGGCAAGCTTCGGCATGCCTTGATGGCCAGGCTGTAAGCAATCACGTCGCTCTGCACATGCTTCTTCAATGCCACCTGAAGCATGGTTGTGAAAAATGACCCTTATAGTGAAACCAACGTGAGTTTGTGTCAAAACAGGGGCGGCCCCAAAATTTCAATGTGTGGTTTCCTTTTGGATTCGCTTCAAAATCAACACACGCACACACGTATGGGTCAGTCACATGACTGCCTCCTCACTTTGAAGAGGACTCCCTTGCCATGACAAAACAAAGGCCCAACACCCAATTCCCGCAACCGTGCGCCTGGAACAAGTGAAGGGCCAACCCCCACTCCGAAATCTGCTCGCAGGCGCTGATCGCAGCAGAAATCGCCACAATGCCATCAGACAAAAACCGGGCTTCCAGCAAATGCAACACCTGGTGCCAGCTGCGTTGCCGCGAGGCTTTCAGCTCTGCGCCATGGCGCCCTGCTGCGCGCTCCATCCATGCCGTGCCAAGCCATCCTCTGCGCCGGCCCAGCGGCGAGTCGGCCGGCCGAGGAGGGACTCCAGCTCATGCTGACATAGCGAACCCAGCCGGGCGAAGGTAATCAACGCTGTCTTGCTGCATCTTGGCTTTGAAATCATGAGAAGCACCTGTTAGGCTTGCATGATGGCTTGCTTCAGCCTTGCTGGGTGAGTTCTCCATGGGGCGGCTTACTCACAAGTGATAACATGCCGTTTTGCAAGTGCAGCAGCGAACCAATGCAAGCATGCAATTTGGGAGACGTGCATCCCGAAGGGAACACGTACAGGTCCTTTGGCTTCTGGTCAGCCTCCTGCTTCTCGCGATGAACAGGACTGGTTGGCCCATCGAAGACTAGCAAGTCCTGGCAGCTGGCCAGGTCTACCGAAACCCAGGTGGGACGGTTTCCTTGTGGCTCTTTGTGCAAGCCAACCCCCGAATTCGGTGCCATGAAAAAAACACTCCCGTTTTGTCAAGCATGACTTTTACACGCGGACCAAAACCGGGAAATACCCGGTGGTCGTTTGACTGGGTTGTTCGGGGAGTTTGAGAACAACATGGCAGGGGAAACATGGTGGGTAGGGGCTCGGGTCGAACACCAGAGAGCTTCAATGTCCAGAACGGACACTTTGAGACACTGGGCGGAGACATCGGTTCTTAATTGGAGCCCCCCATGCGTCTGACTCCAATGCTTGAAACCAACAAGCAACCGGTCCTGAGCCATTCCCGCAAGAGGCCACGAAGGTCCACGAGTTTTGATCTCAAACGGCACTCAGGCACATGCACCCGTCACATGCGTGGGCGCTCCCTTCAAAGGACCCAGGACCCTGCACTCGGACAGCCCGAAGAAGTTGTCGAGTCCGACAGTTGCCAATGCTGGCCGGTTACAAATGATTGAAACCCAAACAGGCAAAAGGGCAAAGGGGCAGCAAAGTGACCTAAGAATGGGACTGAGCTGAAGTTTACTCCAGTCAAGGATAGATCTCATCCACTTACTGCATCACAGGGAGGCAGTCATGCTGTTTGGCTCAACTCTGGCGGATTCTTCTTGAGTGAACCTCAGTGCTAGGTTTTGCACGGAGTCCTCAGACCTTCACTGATGATGTGCAAAAATTGACTGCTGCCAGAACTGTCCAGCCGCCCGCTCAAGGCTCCGATGCCGCTCCGATGGCATCGCCTTTCTTCTGCTTCAAAGAAAGCGTCTCTGGGCAACTCCAGTTCCAGACTGAGCTCCAAATCCTTCTTCCCATAGACGTCGTTGTTGAGCTGCTTACGCATCCACAGGCCAAGCTGGCCATAGAAATGAGGCCCATGAGCCCCCATAGGCCCTGCTGGTCCAGTGAGAAGGCGAGCGCCGCGACGATGCCCGCCAGCACGACGGCCCAGACCAAAAAAATAAGCCCATGATGTTCGACGCTCTGTCCAGCGGCTTGGTCGTCGCTTGCCAGTCCGAGTCTGTGACCAGAGCCGAGCAAGAAGTCCTTAAACAAGGCATCCAATTTCTGTGGGTCACTGAGTGGGGAATGATCAACTTTGTCTACCTGACGGCAGTCAATGAAGGAGGCCGTAGAGAGTGTGGTTTCAGTCCAGGTCAATGTTGCCAAGCTTCTCTCTTCTGGAGGGCCTCACCCTCTTCTTTCTCCAAATGACCAACACATTTGAAGCAGAAGAAAGGCCTACCTCCACGAGCGTCGCATCTTTGTCCAGCAACTTGTGGCCTTCCAGCACCACCTCCGCCACAGTTGTCTGGCGCGTCAGCTCGTCCCAATCTTGAGACTCTTTGATCTGCCGTTCAAACTCCCCCACGGTCATCTCAGGCTTGCCCTCGAGAATGATGGTGTTGCCGCTAAGCTGCTGCACCGAAACTTTCATTGCCATGGTCGGGGGCAAGCTGCAAACTACGAAACATGGACCTCTGCCACAAGCTATGTTGCGATCTCTGAGTAGAAGCACGCATCCCGAAGGCTTGCGCATCACTGTGTACTTGCGATTTCTCCCCCGCTTGTCGAGAGTAATTGTTTAATAATGTTTAATTATGTCGTCTGAATTTGCGGAATCAAAGCTGCTAACTGAGTGGTGGTTTTATTCCCTTTAAGATTGCATTGACGTATCAAGACCATCCGCGAAACCTTCCGCGACGAGCATGTTTCTATATACGTTTACATAAGATTTGTATAAGTGCTTCCGCGGGCCTTTCGCAGGCAAGTTGCTTCTGGAAACTGAGGAAGGTAGATTCCGCGAGAGAATTCGTGTGCAAGGTTTGCTAGTAAACGTGCTTGGCAACAACCACCCGACCGAAACCAAACTACTACTTGCAACTCAACAAGGTCCCTTCCGCAAGCTTCCGCGGGAACAAAACATTCCGCAAACCTACCTTTTTCGTTAATATGCCAACATCTATACATTGTCTGCTAGAGCGGGAAAAAGAAAAAACACCACTCAACTGCTACCTGGCATTGCAACATGGGGGCAAAGCTTGGCGGCCCTCAGCCTTTGGAAACCGTTGCGCAACACGAACCTCCGCATCTTTCAAAAATATGTGGACGCTGTACAAATTTGACTTCCAACCTAACAGTGCACCAAAAACCGTGCGACTCCGAGTATTCAGTATAGGTTTCCAAGGGAATGCTGTGGGGAAGGGAATGACTACTTCTGTGTTACAACAGAAAGGGCGGAACCCCTAAGACTATTTTCTTCCTATAAAGGGGGATTCCCTTGTATCACACAAGTGGGGGAGAAACCCCTTGATCCCACAACCCTGTTTCCAAGGGAATGCTTCTTAAACACGCACAGATACGAACAGGATCATGCCTGATTACCTATAGGCACTCGTCTGGAATTGGAAACGCTTCCTGATTGACCCCAGCTTCAGTGTCATGCGGGGTTACATTGCCCTGCCAAGTGGGAACCCGGCTGAATCGCCAGCCTAGCGGGACTCAACCTGGGCCAAAGGAGATCCAAGAGGCAGATTACATCAGATTCAACAACCTGGTCGCGGTGTTCCCCAGCGTATAAGAAATGGACAACCCCCTTAACTGGAACGCCCAGTGGCTTCTACGAAGCTTCCATCTGGGGAAGCAGGATCCAACTCATCTGGCAATCCAGCTCACGGGCTGCAGCTCTTTTGTGAGCGGGTGGCTCGGAGCTGATGTTCCCAGGGGCTTCAAGGGTGGCCTCAAGGGCTGTACATGAGGGCACAGCCGAAATGCGAAAACTGCGGCGAGATGACAAGATCTCTACGCCGGAAGGCTCACTTCCGATGAATTCGCTTCGAGCTCACGAACATTTCTCCAAAGCATGGGAAACCCATGTACCACGGCCTGCGTGATGCTTTTCTGCATCGCCTGCGGCTTTCCGAAAAGGGGCTACCATCTCAGTGCGAGGTCTTCTGGATGACTGCATTGAACTCCTCCTCGGTCGGGAAGTCCCCGAAGTAGAAGTTCTGGTTCCGCCGGATCTCCTCAAGGCGCTGAAGGAGAAAACCAACTTGCTGCTGGTTTCTGCGCCTACCGTAGTAATGTAACATTCGGCAAATTGTGCGATAATTCTGAAGCTGAATTAAGGGACGGTGAGCTCGTTTTACCTCCAGGTGAGCTCACTGCAAATTAGGCAGAACGTTCCTCTGGGCCTCTTTGGCCAAAAATGGGCCCCAGAATCCGCCACCAGTAGTAGGATGCAACTACAGCAAGCGGCAGGGAAACCACTACCATCTGGCACAAGGATCTCGCAAATAAAGAGCCCAAAAAAAGGAAAACCCAAAAGTTGTGTGCGCATGTTTTCCTTTGGTTTGCCCTTGCTTTCCCTTCAACTGCGTAAATTCTCAACTTCCTGCACTCTTGCACTCTGGTCGCCAAGCTTGGTGTGCCCCCCCCCTTTTCGGGGGTGCCAAGTCGAGTCGCCGAGAAGGGCATGAGGTTGGTGGTGAGCAAAGTTTGCAGCGGGGGCTCGGCGACGCCGAGCTTGCTGAGCAGCGTCCCTGCCAAGGAGGCCTCGGATCGAACATCGGCCAGGGAGCCCTTTGGTTGGCATGGCTCAAGTTGGAACCCAAGGAAGGATATCCACTCAGATTGAGGCGGTTGAAATGAGAGATTCCAGTCTAGTCCTTGAGTGGAGAGGTTAGAATAAGGGTACCATTTTTTGCAGTGTAGGGGAACCCTCCCAACCAAAAACGAATCGGAGAGCTGGGGGACCTAGATGATAACCCCATGCTGTGGGTCAATAACAGGTACCCAAAATGCACCCCTTGGCTGACCGGACACAAAAAACATCTGCGCCAGGGCGCCAACCCGTAGAGCGCCTTGCGAATCGGCCCGGCCGAGTCTCCAGGGCCCAGCGACAGGTCCAGCAGCGCATGACCCTCCGGCACCTGGCTGCGAGCCGATGGCCCAGGGCCAGGGTCCCGAAACGGAAAACCCGCTGCTGCGATACAAAAAGAGCCGGGAAAAGAGAAAAAGACGTAGCCTCCGTAGAACAAAAAGGGCGAAAAAACAAAGAAAAGACAAAGACTTAGCCTCCGTAGAAATTTTGGGAGATTCCCTTGTGTCACAGTGGGGATAAGCCCCTTGATCCCACAACCCTGTCCAATGTTCGGTGCTCACCTGGGTCAAAGGCAGAACATGCACCGCCTTTTGGGTGGGTGATAAGCAGAACAACGGGGGTCCACGGAAAAACCAGGTGGAGCAAAGTTGTCTACGCTTTTAGCAGCACAATGGTTCAGCCTTACAAAGCCGGTCGTGAACGCTTGGCAAAACTGGATGGGGGGCATGGGCAAACGTCATCTGCATGTCGCGCTGGCAAAAACATTCCCGTGCCTCCCAACAAGAAGTCCGGCGCAAGGCAAAACAGCAAGTTTCGTGTTTGTTATTCCCTGCCTCGCCTTAGCAAAGACAATCAGCATACTGGAATTACATTGCCTGCAGCACACTCTCACATCAATCGAGTTCTGTTCCTTGACTCCAGCGACTCGAGAGTGACACCCAAGCAACCCAAATGGCCCACATGAGAAGCACATTTTATCCGCGGGGTCCATGGGTGGGTGGCAGCCCCTCCCGCCACATCCCCACAGCCACCTGGCGCTGAGAGTATCTCTCCAGGGCCTCTGGCACGCAGTCAGCACCTTGCGCTTGCCTTGGGTTGCCATGAGTGGACCCAGCTCTGTGCCCTTTGCTCCCCGCTCTCAAGCAATCCAACACGCACGCTCAAACTACGGCAGCCCCGAAAAAAACGGTGTTCCTTTCCGTTGGTTCCTTTTAAAACCCAACCCAAAAAGTGTACCCCACCCCCCGACGCCCCCCCCAAACAAAAACAGAAGGGGAAAACACAAAAGCCCCACACATAAGGTAGACGCCCACAGAACAAAGGTGCAATCCCCTGAGCTTCCAGCAAAATCTCAGCCAATGCCACTGAGTCCTGTCAATCCATGCATTCCCAGTAACCAGTGACCTGAACGGTAGAACAAGGGAAACCCTCTGATTCATTTTTGGGGGGACCGCGAGCCGCCAAACAAAACGATTTAATTGCCGCTGAACGGGGTCTCCGTTTACAAGGGGCCTCGACCTCAAGGCCTTAGTCAAGCTTCCTACCCGGCAGGTTGACAGCGTTTCCAAGAAAAGCAGCAACCTACTTTGAACGGGCTTCCGCCCGCTTTGAACTGGCAGCCTGAAGTTGATGTCGACTGGAAGGTCTGTTTGAGCCACCCTCGGGAGTCCTATTTGCACACTTGCAACTGCAAGCGGTTTCTTGGGCGGCATAGCACTGCGGCAGCCAGGCCCGGGCCTCTTGGCACAGCGCCCTATGGGGCGGTGTCCTTTTCATGTCTCTCAAAAACCTGGGCTGTTCAAAACGCAGGGTTGGCCACTCCTAATCCATAATCTTTATAGGGAAGCCACTACAAAAGGGACCTCATTGCGTAACCGAAGGTAAGGATTAAGGATTAAGGATTACCTTTGAACAGCCCAGTTAACCACCCCAACAGGTGGCGCCAACTCAAATCTAGAATCTAGATGTGCTGACATGTTCATGTTGCGGGCTGTTCGGAAAGAGTGCATTGGGCCTTGTTGCCCTTGCATCCTCGGTACTTGTGGGGCAAAGCGGTATGCCGCGTTGGAGCAAGCCTGCCATGTGCCATGGTCAAATCTCCCGGTGTTGGCCATGGTTTTGGCTCTGGGCCCATGATTGTTTACAACACCCTTATTAAAAGAAGGTTAATGACCATTCCTACTGTGCACGGAAGAAACCCCGCCCGCACAAGTTGATCGGTGGTTGGCTCCACGGACAGGCCTCCATCCATCCCAACTGATGAAAAGCAGATCTTTCCTATCCACAGCACAAACGTAAACACATGATTCTCATGTCATAGCGTCGGTTGTCGTTAAACAAAAAGGATGAATGACCACCACCAGAAACCAAGTAAATCCCGGTGCCTTGAGCGCCCCGTACCTTGCCCCGATGCCCCGAAGTGGCAAGGTCCTGCAACGCGGAGTTGCAGCCCTGGCCGCTGGCGCCCCCCGTGGAGTGTGCCGCGTCCCCTAAGAGCACGGCGCCTGAGTGAGCGGCGCCCCACGAAAGCCATTTTTGGGAAATCAGATGGCCCTGGTAGTTCATTGAACCACCAGGTAAACCAGGAATTGCCCTCTATTTTTCAACCAAATCAACCAAACAGGACACCTATGACCGAAGCGCTGTGGCAAATACATGGCACTCCAACAACCGGCGATTCCGTGGGTCCGAACCTCAGGTTGGGGTCCGAAAAAGCCTCCAGTTGCTGAGGAAGATCTGGGCGGTTGTCAAAATTTGCTACCCTCCCACCAAGTAACCTGGAACCTGACGTTCGGGAGAATGGGCTTCCAGGACGCCCCGAACGTCAGGTGGGAGGGTAG